TCCAAGCGAGAGTGTGGCGAAACAAATCGCTCCGCTTGTCTAAAATAATCAGTGTCTACCAAACATTGGTTCCCTCATTCCCACTTAGTAGATCTGAGACATGAGCAATTTATAGACAGAAACTAAGACTTGACAACTTCACAAAAGATATTTGCACACCATCTTGGACATACGGTGGCAAGACCGCAGTACAAACTTGCAAAATGGTTTAACCTTCTTATACTCTGACAGTCACACTAGTCAGGGCACTTATCCAATATGGGGGACGAAACTATGCTTAAGACAATCTTTTTTTTTAACTGTAGTGTGGCCGGGGTAACAGAGATGCCTTCACAATAACCCTTATTTAGAATACTATTGCGTTGTTTTAAGTCTCATTGGAAAAAATGCGCTTTTTTAACTTTGTTATAAGTTGCACGTTTTATCCTATAACATAGAGATTTTGCATGCACAAAGATTTGTTCTAAAACTATATTGAATATATTAATTGCAATATTAAATGTCAGCAATTTTAGAAGTTACACTACAAAGACTTTCTTCCAACCCAATAGTTTTACCCAATAGATGCAAAATGATATGACGTGAGCTGTTGTTTTCTCTTTACTGACTTAAGAGACTTTCTATTCTAATCGCCATGTACAATTACATTGAGAACTAACAGAATGAAAATGCAACTCTCCAGATTGATAGTCTTTACCCGATCGTTCATTTTTGTAATTACTAAAATATTCCCAAAGTGACTACAGGTATATTTCTTTTCTTAACAAATTATTCATCCGAGCGAGGCTCGGTCACCTGCTACTGATGACATATTTAAGTCGATCACTATGGCGTTAACAATGTTTTTTAACAAATATTTGTACTTCTTTTTAAAATGTTGAATGATTCATAACGATGCTACTGAAATGATGACAAGGTAATTTTAAAATTGCGGTTACAAAATTTGTTCAACTGAAACTCCTAAAATCCTTCCTTGTAATGAGTCTCTAAATAAGGTTTAAATTAGCTAGTATTAAAGTTGTGTAAATTAAATAATCCAGACAAATTTTATAACATCGCCGTCATTTTCTTATCTTATCTTATTTTATATAATACGGACGTTACTTTAAAAGAAGATGATTACGTCTTACACCCCAACCATTTAGTTATCAATACTAACCAATTACCTAAATTCTGCTAAGTCACTGGTTTACATGACTAGATTAGTAAACCTATTCCATGCTCTAATAGCACTAGGGAAGAAGGAGCAATGGCACAAATTTGTCCTAGCATATGGGACTAGGAATGTGTCTTTATCTTTGTGTCTTTCTGAGTAGTGTATAAAATTTAAATATTATGGTTTAGTGTTTTATGTATAATTGCGACATTACTTTTCGTATTATCTCCTGGGTACTTTCTAAATTAGTGATTTTAGGATATTCGTTAGTTATGAATCTCACTGCTCTATTTTAAGTCTTTTCCAGTTTTTTCCGAGCGGAAGAGTCCGAAATGGTTCATGTTTTTTTCTTTTATTGGCATAACAAAAGTTAAATCACATTTTTTTTTGTAGTATATGTGTTGTTTTAAAATGTCGCTAATATTTTAGCATAACCTTATCTCTACACTTCATCTCTAGACATTCTTATGTTACACCTTCTTTGTTACTTTTCTGTTATACATACAAAAATTAACATTAACGTTTACCAGCTTCTGATGTTTCCTCAGGATTGTCTCCCGAAGCCTATCCCATGTTTGGGTATTGCTACAAAGGAGCGAAAGCTTCAATTCAGATTTTTCCTTTTCCTAGATGTTCATCTAATGAGCTTCTTGTTGTGGACGGTCTCTGTCTTCAGCTCCAGACTGCTGTCAGGCAACTAAACCGCTGTAGGCATATTATATTTTAACGAATAAAAACTTGAAATAATTTGAATATTTTCTATGTGAATTAAACTAAATAACTTTATAACATCATAGAGGAATTCAACTTCAGATAAAAAGAAATAGATGTAGCTGGCTTTAGTAACAATATAAAATATTATTTTGATCAAATTCTAACTCGCTACAAAAATACGTCGTTACACCTTGGCATCCTGTAACTTTTGTACTATGCCCTTTTAAAAATGGGCAGGTTTGGACTGTATAAAGGGTTCCTTGGTCCAAAAAAATGCGAACCTCTAGTCTGGCGAACTTACCACAGCTTATTACAGAGTATTTTATCTTGCATCATTCTACGATACGAACATTAAATGAATACTCTCTCTCTACAACAAATAACAATTACTCCCTTTTTTATAATCACCTTGGTAATACAGACTCCATAACTCCCTTCCTGACCCTCCTCCTGTTAGTGATAAGAGCTTTATGGGACCATAATTCTGAGCCACAGGAGAATGCCGGGAATAGGAGTTGGATTGTTCGTGAGAGGCTATTTGAGACAGATGCTATTGAAAGCACATTATAGATAGTGGAATATATCGATTGCCATTAACATTTACAGTAATAACAAACTTACGAACCTGTGGTGTTTATTACTTTATTTTATTTTATATAGCGTCGTAATGTTTTTATTTTAAAGTTCAGAAGAGTGAGAAAGATTTATGTTCCTAGCATTAAATGGGGCATTAAGCAGCATGGCGTTTGTTTGTATCATCATTATTAATATTGTCGTTGGGGTCAATTGATCGCTAGGGTTACCAAATCTCTCTACTCCTCCTAGTCAGCAGCTGTTGTAAGCAAAAAACTGAGAGGTCAGTCCATGCTTTCAGTTTGTCCAGCTTTTCTTTGGACGACCCTTTTAATTGCATTTTCAACTGTACCTTTGAGATTGACATTTGATATTGAGTCATGTCTTACAATATGATCTATCCATAGAATTAAGTAATGAACTATGAAACATATTCTAAATACTGTTCCTTAGATGTTATACTAACCCCTCTATTACCATATACAACAAACAATCTATAAATCTTTAACATAAAATGAATAGAATACGTAGGCCAATGTGTATTTTAATGCTGACTGCTAAATATAACCGTGACAATGAATACAAAGACCGAATGCCGATTCATGGATATATTATTTATTTATTATAATTTATGCAAACATATAGATACAACTCTGGCAAAAAAAACAACATTCAGTATCAATTAATGTATATTTAAAATTCAATACAACCGTAAAAGCCGAACAAATACCACAATGTCTTACTATGAGTTATATTCCATTCCATTTGGCAGGAAACATCATTATTATGATATACTGTATGACTTTGCACCACGCAAGGCTCGTAAAGTAATTCTGTACGTAGTAAAGATTGAATAAAATGCATAGACGAATTTATTTTCTAATACAAACCCTTATATTTCACTTATTGTCCGCTTCCCTACCCAAACGTGGCCCCACGAAATACGTTTCGAATAGGGCCTCACATTGCTTTAAGTCCGGCACTGCTATTTAGTGTTTGTAAAATGTTTTACATGTTTCGGATGTTCCTTCAGATTTGAAGATAGTTTACTTCCTAGTCCAAACCTCCCGCAGGACGAATGGGGATGGGAGCGGACAGGGTTTGACAGTCCAGCATCTGTAGCCACGTGTGAATACCCAAGTGTTCTCCCCCCCCCCCCCCACCCCTTCTTGTTTTTTTTTTTGTGAGGTGACTCTCCGCAGAAATACGAGAGTGCTCTTTCCTTTACTTCTTGTTTAAATTGTTGAGGGAAGAAGAGAATTATATATATGTGACCTAAAATAAAATAGGTAATAAGACCAGAGACCTGTACTGCACCGGCAAGTTAGTCCAGCGGTACTTTGTGGTCCCAATTATATTATCTAGGCTAATAACTATAGCCTCTAGATGTATAAAACTACCGAGACAAACAATTAATAATTCTGAGATTTTAGTTGAAACACAAAAAAAGGAGTTTATTTACAAACAAAAGAAAAAGATCATGAAAAATATAAATGGCAATAAAGGCGCACGAAAGAAAATGACATTATGAAACAAAGCAAAGTAGCAAGACAGTTTCCGGTCAATATAATGAAAGGACCACCATCACAGAGGCACAATAATGTCTTATGCCGAAAAACCAAAAAGATGGTTTACAATAATATCATACATGCATCAACAATGAAATGACGTCATTCATGAGACACACTACTGTCTCGTATCTAAACAAAGATGTCTTTCAAAAAAAAAGACATACAGAAGAGAATAAGAGACTAAGTAGACCTATACCATTTACATAAATCAACTAACAAATCGATAAAGTCTACTTAGCTCATTATCGAAATGATCTTCCCACAACAGTGGCACACTCCTCTTGAGTAACACAATAATAGTACAACACAAATATTAGTCAAACATTATATAGATTTAGTTCAAGCTACACTGGTCAGTTGAAAGACTCAAAAAAGAGTGGCAATTGTAAACAGTTGACAGGGACATAAATCAAGTAATAAAGGGGGCTAACTCTAATAAAAAAAATAAAGGTAGCCACCCTTATTGTCCCTCTTGTCACATATAGATATATAGATAGATAGATAGATTGATAGACATTCTAAATCTAGACTGTACACTGAAGATAGCAATGAACGATGTTTTAACTTTTGCCAGTCTTGATTGTAAACGTATTTAGGAAATGGTTTATAGTGTTTATTGTAAAATACATTTTTCATACCTTGCGATCGATAGAGCATATGATGTTAAGGTGATCTGTTTATGTGGCTAACGGTTAATGATCAGGCTGTCATGTGGCCAGCACAACGACCAACCGACTAACCGACTTTACTGTCCCCAACTAAAGTCATGTACCTATTAGAGTTCGATGCACCTAAAAATTCCCGAAGTTGAATCAAAGTCTTTACAAGATTCGAAAGCTGGACCTCCATGTTCATAAGCCGAGCGCTTCACCACTCACCCACCGTGCCCGTGTATAATGTTTCTTCTTCATAATATGGCTGCCTGGTCATGCGGTTTGCACGCTGGACTGACGTTTGGATTTATCGATGGTCCCGGGTTCAAACCCTGCCCGCTCCCATCCCCCGTCATCTTGCGGGAGGTTTGAACTAGGAAGTAAATTATATTCAACTCTGAAGGAGCATCCAAAACAACTAAAACTAAACAAAACAATATGTAATGTCATCATAATACTTTCAGCCGCGGTACAGAAACATCAAGGATAGTGACAATACAAGTCTATCTGTGCTCTTGAAAGACTTATCAATGCTAATAAATGACATATCAATTGTAATGAATGACTTTTAGTGCTAATGAATAACATTCAGTTCTAATGAATGACTTATCAATGCTAATAAATGACATATCAATACTAATAAATGACATTGAGTGCTAATGATTGACTATCACTGCTAATGATTGACTATCACTGCTAATGATTGACTATTAGTGTTGATGATTGACAATCAGTGTTAATGAATGACTATTCGTTCAAGTTTTGTATTAATAATATCAGCATAGACAATGACTATACCACACTTCAGAGGTAGTGATAGACAGAATATATCACAATACAATTGTTACCCTTATGTAAAAAAAATCGACAAATAAACTTAAAAAAGAGTAATAATGAAAAGAATAAATATGTGGATGATTTTTTTCTCAGAAATATCAGTCATGGAGTATAGCTGATTATTTTGTGCCGCAGGTGTCTAGGAGGATGACAGCTTTGTCTAGTCTAGTGGTATCAATCAACTCTCCCTTACATTTCTGCTGGTGAACTAAACTATGGAGTAAATAATATATATCGACAATTAAGATATCAGGTAGATACACTTCTACAATTAAATCTACTTTAAGAATTGTTTCAAAATATAGACTTAAGTAGAGTTATAATATAGAACTAGTAATCCACTCAAATAAAAGTATCTTGGATTAGTTATTTGGCTTTCTACAGTCTAAAGTTCTGATCATTTTAAGCAATTGTCAGCTTAGATGAGAATTTGGTGATTAGCCATGATCGGAACGTTGAATTATAACCTAGGTGTTTTCAAATAGTATGTATAGTACAAAGTTGTATGAAAATAGAGTAACATTAGAGATGTTGTTTTTTTTAAAATTATTTTTCAAGAGCACTGAAGGGGAGGGGCTTGTCATGCGCATCCTCATAAATTTAGCAACTTGAACCCCCTAGAAAAATTCAACCTTTTTTTTCGGCTGTCTGTCACATATTCCTACAATTTGAGGTTGAAGTCTCTTTGGCTCTATATCAAACATATTTACGTTCTAGTTTTGTGTTTCCTGTTTTGGTTGATTTGTTTTTGTTTAATTTCAATTAAAAGTTCATTTTGCATCTTTTTCTTGTTTTTTCGTGTCCTGTTATCACAACTCGGCCTCGACATTCATCAATAAGCATTGTGAAAACTCCCTCCTTATGTGGGAAGCGTGGTCGAGAGTCTAAGTACACGAACTTGGCTTGACTTGGATACCTATAAAGGGGGCTCGAGGCTCAAGTTTCGACTCCCGACTCGAGCAGAACTGTGCACACTAAGCGCCAAAAGGCAGCACCAAAAAACCTTCTCCCAGATACAAACCCCTCATGAGATTAGATCGAAGCGTTCTTACTATGCTTTAAGCATGATTGTAGCGCTATTTAAAAAAGATTTATAAAAAAAAGTTATAATTCTTGGTTTATGCGCCAGCGTAAATGGAACTTTATTGTGTCTATTTACTTTTAAAGTTGTCAACATGCGGGATAACTATAGTATAGAATTTTTCTCCAAAGTTTTCTTTCACAAACCGCAGTAGTATAACATAGTCTAAAACTTACATCCGAAATCAATAGTTCCCCAAAGAATGTGTAGCATATGTATATGTTGTAAAATTTAACTCTTAAATCATAATGCTAATTAACTGTGTTGTATAAATCTTTGTCAGGTGTTTCTTTTAAAACACGTGGGTCTAGTATACTAGAGCCTGTGCGTTAGGGTGGACTTTTTGTCGCTGCCTGACGAACCTTTGAAAAGTAGATCTATGTGTCTGTATGTCTATTACAGAAACAAAAAATAATAAGATTATTATCAGCTTATAAGAAATTACTGTTGTGCGCTTCAGCGGTGATAAGTACTTCAACTATAAACAAACTCAAAAGGTGGTAATGCCGAACTCAATGCTGGAACAGCAACTCCGACGAAAGGCTAACAATCGATAAAAGGAGTCAACGCTAGTGTTGAAACATAAAAAGTACGTTTAATACTCAATGAGGGAACCGTCGGATGTCCTCTATTACTAGCGGTCTCTAGAATTCTTCTTATTCCTACTGTCAATGAGAAAGTGTCTTGATTCTAGCGTCTCTTAGAGCGTTCTTAATTTTTAAAGATCTATCACGTCATTCGTCACTAAGTACAACTTTCCCCATATTCCCGATACAAAATAACTAAATCTTAATCATGTCATAACATTACTAATCAACAATGTTAAAAGGACGTTATTTTATTTCTGTTTATAAATCATCAAATATTTTCTGCGAAAGTAAAGTTTGTTGTGACTCTAAGGCAGACAACTCAACGAAAGTCAGGAGGTAACAATTAAATATGCATTTATTATAAGCATCAACAAATAGTAAGATTGGACTTACTTTATCAAGTCACAGGGAGTAATGCCTTAAGTTCTAATAACCCTAATTAATACCAGAACAGCAGGACAGACCACAGACACCCTTTCCAGTGTCGTTCCAGGTCTTTTAAACACCTCGCTAGTATCACACTGGGCAGCGCTCAGCCTCGGACTGTTCAGACTCCCATAACTAAAGCCGGGTCCACAACAGTCCTTCTTCCTCTATAAACATGTCTTCCACTACTTGTGTTTCATGGCACTCTGATGCGCACAATCAGTGCGACTCGGGAGCGGAGTTATAACAATATTTTAAAAACTTTCGTTTTAAAAAAAATATCACATATTTAACTCACAAAATCGATGGAAAATTGTCTATTTTTATAAAAAAACATCCCATTTTTGGTACAAAATCATATATAAAATCAGTAATTAACTTAAACTTGTATATTAGGTTTATACAACTTGACTGTATTAATTTCAGAAACGTAGACAGTGTATAGAAAAGATTAAAAAAAAACATCTAACCACTAGCTCATAACCTGTTGAAGAAAAATACTGAATAATAAAAGAAAAAATACCAGATACTAAACTCTTTCTAAGAGTGGGTCTGCAAAGCATCCACATAATCCTGCAGTCCTAGTTGCGATGGGCAGCATACGTCTGCAGAATTAAAGACCGCCGCATCCCTAAATGACTCCTGTATGGCCGATTAAGAGAAGGCAAGCGCTTACAAGGCGGACAAACAAAACGCTTTAGAGACACCCTCAAAGCTTTTCTGAAAACATTCAGCATTTGCCCAGCCACCTGTGAGACAGAGGCATATGACAGAGCATCTTGGCGTCGCGCTATGAAAACTGGCGCACAGGTTGTTAAGGAAAAGAGAACAACGCTGGCAGATGAAAAGTGCCAGAGAATAAAAGCAAGACCAATCACACTAATTATAATAATATGCCCAATGTGCAGCGAACATTCCAGGCTCACTTAACTTTCACCAGCCACATGAGGAGGCAGAAAACCCCAGTGCTATCCCTCAGCACCACTGGATGACAAAGTGGTCATCATCGAAACACCATGGACGAACTATATTCAATTTCAACTCACCCTTTTCTCTGTCCTCTTGTCTATTTTCGTGAAGATGTAACTCTTCATCAGATTGCTGTGGAAAACAAAAAAGCTAAATTTAAATAGATCCACGGGGGCAGGTGATAAAGAGGTAATATCTTGTCCATTATACAGTATATACAGGTATCATTAAGCTAGATAAAACAAATGGGCACAAATGTCAAAGACTTAATAAAAAGTCAGGAACTTAAAGAAACATCTCAATTATTAAGACAAAGAAACGTGTAACACTAATAAAACAATGTCTAATACTAAGTCAAAGAAATAATAACAAAAGTGATTAAATCCAAAGAAATGAAACAATTTATTTTATCTTCAAACAAATACCACCAAGAGAGGTGCTTCTGTTGTTGAAGTAGAGCTTTCAATAGTAAGTAAGTACTTACACTGTCCGTTTTTCGCTCCTTGTTTCGACTTCGTAACCGTAAACGATAAACAAGTATACTGAGAAAAAATTGAAAGAATCAAGAAAAACATGAAATACTTTTTTTTAAAAGTGTAATTATATTAATTAGTTTGGATAGTCATAAAATAAAATTTGTAATACTTCTAGACCAAAATAATAAATTTTTGCAATTACAAATATTTTAACGCCCCCGGAAGGGGAATAGTTGCTATTAGTTTTGTGTGGTTTGTCTGTCCGTCCGTCCATCCATCCGGTGTAGATTTCAGAAACTAGAATAGAAAATGAAAATCGGTCATCATGATAATTTAGATCAACAGCTACTTTTTTTTCCGAAAGTAAACCACTTCAATGAAAAAATTATATTGAAACATATTTTAAAAATACACCATTTTTAAATGAAAAAAATCACAAGACTTCTTTATTAATAACTCAAGTTTCATTCATAGATTAGCGATTATATACAAAAAACTTGCATGTCACAATGGAAAAGTATTAATGGATCATTATAAAATATAGTTTATATTTTTTGAACTAACTCATGAAATGAAATACTGATTGAAATGTTGTTTTTAAAAAATAATTTTGATACGAATTTCGCTTTAATTTTAAGTTAAAAAAACGAAATACTTTTATATCGCGCATTTTTTGGCAATTGCTCATTATACAATTGACTAATTAGTTTATTCTTTATTTTAAAATAATTGTGCACAATTTCTGCTATAATCGATAATAAATGTGGGAGAAACATGTACAAACTTGTTCACCAAAGTAGAAGAAAGAGGGTGGAGATAGAGAACGATAGAGAAAAAGAAAGAGAGTGAAAGAGAGAGAAAGAGAGAAAGAAAAAAAAGAGAAAGTATAAGAAAGAGAAGGAGAGAGAAAATTGATGTCGATTTGTGTAACTTTAAGTATTATATATCTTATAGAGTGCGTTTAACAATTCTTTCCATGCTGGACCTTTCCGCAGCCTTTGATACGCTAGACCATGAAATTATGATTGCCAGATTCTCTGCAACTTTTGGTTTAGCAGGAGTCGTCCTAAATTGTCTTGGATCCTACCTGACGGAACGCACCCAAAAAGTCGTTGTTAGCGGGACGGAATCAACAAGCTTTCTTTTGAAGTACGGAGTACCTCAAGAATCAGTTCTAGGCCCAGTACTGTTCACTATGTACACATATCCACTTAGCGGTGTCATAAGGCCAACCGGCATCTTATACCATTTCTTTGCCGATGACTCACAGTTATACGATTCATCAGTACCCCCAGAGGTGTCGCATCTAGCAGAGAAAATTAGTAGTACCGTTGCAAGGGTGAGCAATTAAATGGTTGAAAATAAACTCAAGATGAACGAAGACAAGACAGAAATAATTAAGATTGGCACTAGGAACAATATCTCAAAAGTTGAAGGCACAGATTCTCTCTTTATCACGAACAGCCATGTTCCTTTTGTCCATGTAATGCGGAATCTTAAAGTTTTGTTCGACTCAACACTGTCTTTCGACCCACACATAAGTCAGCTCTGCAAAGGTCTTTATCTGCAGCTGCGCAGATTATGCCAGATCCGACCATATTTAACAACGGAGTCAACAAAAACGC